ATATTCATCTTTGTTTACAGCCCTTAATAGTGTTTCAGTGTTGGCTAACCCCAGCCGCCTAAAATTTTCATTATGATAGGCTCATCATTTCAAATTAGCATTTCCACTGAGAAATCTGATGAACTCCTAATATTAAGCAGTTCATATAGCTGTATTCTATTAACAGTCTGGAATACTACTTCTGCATAAACTGGATAATTACCTAGCTAGTTCGTACAGTATATTGCTGAATCTATTATTGGTTATATGTTATGATATAAAATGTGTTTCCCCTTTCTTTATAATATTTATTGTATTCCCATCTTAATGCTTTGCACTTACTTTGAACTGCATAAAATGGTGGAAAATATCTTCTTTTTATCACCCAGTGCAAAAGTGGTGCCTGCCAGATAAATTAGTCCTATAGGTTCCCCTAGCTGTAATTTATTGTACAATGTTTAGTTTACAGTACAGTAAATCCAGGAAATTGGGTTATTTCCAAAAGCTGTAGGTAAGTTAACCATGGGGAAATGTGATGTTTGAATGCAGCCTCTTATCTTTTCAGAGAAGGCATGCCTCTGCACATGAGTTCACTCCTGTGTCAATATTAATGATACCTCCCCATCAGACTGTGAAACCCATTTACTAGTACTTATATGGTGAAAGATTAATTATAGCCCATCTCACACCTGCATTGTCATGAAATGGATCATGTTGTGCCTGTCATTAATCATTGCAGAGTAATGAAGCCATAACAAAATGCACACGTGTTTGTTAAAGCTGCTTCCCACATTAGAACAAAGTAAACAGGAATTCTGTATCATATGGTTGCATAGGATCAAGCATATCTGTTTTGAATGTGGGAGATATTCTATCAGAACGTAATGAGCATGGATACAGATTTCTTAATCATATGCCAGTCTGGTACTTCTATTCTAGAGTTCCTTTGGAAATTCTCCTTCTCTAAATTTATCCTTAGGAATTCTGAACTAATTGTTCAATTGTTGTTTCTGAAGTGGAACTGATGCTGTGCCATTTGCTTATTTATTTCTAAATTTTGCAAAACACTATACAAATGTATAACATGCCACAGTTTAATGTTTCATCAGTTACTTTCTATCTGCCCTTCCATCATGAACAGTTTTACAGCAGGATATATAGATCAGCCTATATGAGGTCCTCATCAGTATTACAGATATTCTATTCATTAGGCATTTTGTTCATTTTCTGCATCATTCTGCATATTTAAAAAAAGAAAAGAAAAGAAAAATCCTAATATTAATTATGCAATATCTAATTCTTCTTAAACAGTAACATCTGATAGGGCATTGCAAATCTTTAAATTGCAGAATGTCTGCTCCCTCCATTCAAAAGAACATGGCCATGCCATTTGCATCTTCATAATGCAGAATCCAATTTATAATTTTTATTGATGTGAAATAATCAGTTTTGACACACAGGAAGCCTTCAAGGCTGCAGACAGAAGTTCCTTTGTGGGTTCAAGGTTAGGGCTACAAAGGGACATAGAGAGTGGGTTGGCAGGATGAAATTATAGGTAGAAGTTGTTTCTCCCTTTTCACTGTTGTCAGTATTGGTGGTTTACTTTGTCAATGCTTCAAGCTTTCCAAACAACTTCATGAAGCAATGTAGTCCCTGCTTCTTAAAAGACAAAGCAAAGTTGCATCATTGTTTCATTTCTCATCACTCCGACAGCCTCCTCTGACACACCCAATGCTCAGAAGAACCCTTCTGGCTAGAGAAAATGCCAGAGGAATTTGTAGGAGCAATGAAAATTGCCCCAGCAACATGGTTAGTGTTGTCCCCATTCCATGAAAGTTTCATAGTAACTTTTCTGCATGAGAGGTAGACAGTGTTCTTACAGGATCAAAAATAGCTATTGTTTCAAATCACAGTCGCATGGCTTTCTTGTTTCTAAATGTCTGCAATATTAAATAGCCATAGCTGATAAATCATTGAATAGAAAAGATGGATTTCCTAGGTAAGGATCAATTTAATTTTTGCTTAAAGAGAAAGGCATTTTTGGGGTCTTTTGTTCCTATGAACAAATCAATTTATTTTACAAGAGGAAAACTGCTAACATATTTTTATTCAGATTTTATTACTGAATATATTACCATACAAAGAACGACCATAACGTCCCTAGTTTCTCTCTCTCTCTCTCTCTTTCCCTCTCTCTCTGTCTCATTTTCTTATCAATGGAGATTATGTGATGTTCTATGAACATCAGAAATCCATTTTTAAACAGTTGTTCCCCTTCCACATTTTCCCAAATAGAAATGAAAACTAGAGTGGTCAAATGTCAACAGAAGCTGAGCTATTCAGTCATCTCCATGTTCATAGTGTTGGCAACCAGAAGAAAATTGGAGCTCTTTCACTGGTGGGTGGAAGAAGAAGATACCATTTTTTGTTTTGTACCATGTGTGGTTAACCCATGCTCAAAACAGATGAACTTCTGATGGCTGTGTAAATAAAAAAAAGGCCTCTTTCCTTCCTTTATAGGTACAGCAATTTATTACTATACATGTCTCCCAATCTGTTTAAGGAACTTGGGGGGGGTAGAGAAATTCTGGATTTTTTCCCTATTCATTCTCATTCAGTTTGATGAAATAGAATTTGCTTCTGAACTCATTCTGACAAGGAATTTCAGAGAAATTCTTAGGAGAAGAGTATGGTCCTCTAACTTATTTAGTCATAACAAATGGATGTATGATTGTGATTCTCTGAAATCCCCTTTCCGGTGGTCTGAGACATTCCTGGTTTTCCACAATTAAATCCCAAGTGAACATTTCAAGAAACAATATCTCCCATGAGGCTTTTTCACTAGCAGCCTTACTGTCATTCCAGAGAACGAATTTTAACTTTGAGAAATTTTTGAAGAATATCTTGTTCTGGAGAAATTATCTGAATTTTTCTGCCCCCAAATATGGTAGAGAATATTTGAAAAGCCATTTGTTTCCAGTTTCAAAAACAAGTATAAATGTACTCATGCCTGTTCAGCTATTTAAAGTAATAGTGCAGGAAGTATTAACATCACCAATATTTCTTCTCTTCAGCTGTGTTAAGAAGAAGAAAGCTCCATGCAAACAAGAACATGTTTGCATGACTTATCTTTCTCAAGGTTTAATATTACTAAAAGAAAGCAACCATAAGGTGATCATTCTCTGATCATCTGTTCTTTGGAATGAACTTCCACAAGCAAACAGTTGATACTTAACAGTTATGAAAAATGAGCAATTTTCCTTTTTCCTCAGGCTTGCATCAAAATGACTCAGATAATAATCCAAGGAAAACTTTCATTTCAGAGAGGAGATGGTAACTCTCTGACCCTACTCAGCTCCCCTGTCAATCCCCAGTAAAAACAAGAGGGTCATCTCTTTTCCTTTAAGTCAGGCGTGCCACATTTTCTGGACAAGGGCTGCACTTGGCTTTTAGATCATCAACCACTGGCCACAGTCCAAAATATGGGTGGGATCTGGACAATAAATAAATTTGAATACATTAATTAAAATTACATCCAATTAATTAAATGCAACTAATCTTTATGCCCCATGTATTTAATGTATTCCCCCTTCTGTCACATTAAAATTTACAATTTGCTGGCAACTTCTGGAGAGACTCTGGAGGCTACGCCCAAGGGTTGCTCCTTCACTCCCCACTCTGGCACCTTGCAAGCTCAGACTTATGCTCCAATCTAGCAAGCATCACTGAAGTCTTCAACATGTATTGCTTTCTGCTCTTGGCTTTCCATATTTTCTCGAGATATTAGAAAGTTTGGTAGAGTGATATTGTCTGCAGTTTTCTGAACCTATCAAACAAGTAGAATGCAGGGAATCCAGTCCTTACTTCTCTTTTCTTCTCATCTCACAGAAACATACCTTGGGATAGAAAAGGAAACAGTAGCATTAGAAGTAGGTTCTCTATGGTGCTATTTTTTCTAGTTCTGCTTCAAAGTTAGTTTATCCATGTGATATATGAGATGCTTTAAGAGCAGCATTTTGCAAGTGTTTGCATTTTGGAGTCACAAATAGTAGTTTTTCTTAGTGTTTACTTGGAACACTCACAAAAGCTTGATTTCTTTTTGAGCCAAAGGCAAGATGCTGGTGCATATTTTAATGGCTTATTCTCATAGAAACTTACTACAAAAATTATTTTTAACTTAATTTATTTTATCTTTATTTTTATATTAAGTTAAGGGGAAACTTAATTTGTGGTATCTTTCAGAAGATCAGAAACAGCTGTGGAAACAGGCTTCTAAGTGGTTAGAAATTGCACAGATGCAAGAAAAACATATCTTGATTACACTTTATAAGAGGCATTGGAAGACTCTAAGTGATCTAGGCTATTAGACCAAGGGTGGGGTTTTAGATTTTGTTTTAATGTATATAATATTTAAAATAAATGTAAATACACTTTTGTTCAGGGTAAACTTGGAATTTAATTGTCACTCAACTATGGAAAATGAAAATATAGCTGCTTAAGTCTCATATCAATGCCTCATTATTATTATTAACATTTTTCTCTTGGAGACTAATCTTTGGCAAGAGATTAGGGGATCAAGGTCTCACCCAAACATATTTTACTCAGCAGACAGGTAGCTTTTCCAGTTGGAATAGAGGCTGACAGCATTTCGAAAGGGAAGTATACTTGGCCAGGAACCAAATTATCAAAGGAGCTTCCATGATTACATTTATATAATTGCCTGATATGATCCCATTGCTGTCCCATTTGGTTGTGCTCCCCCCGCCCCAAAACTTTGGATTGCTGTTAATTTCCATGGTACTCCATTGCTACCTTTCATATGAACTTTCCATTGCTAACTCTCGCAAATGGAGATGTATCCTCATATCTGTAACAAGCCTGCATGTTGTGTCAAGCCATATATGCACACACAGAGACACACATACTATTTGTTGACTTGGTTTTATTTCAGTTTCTTTTTATTTAATTCATGAAGGAAACTAACTAACTCTGATTCCTTCCCTCTTCAAAACACCTTGAAGGAAACTAGCCAAGAAGCAAAAAGAGACCCAAAGCAGCAGTCAACGAGAAATGGGGCCTGTTGCTGCTTCAGACAAGACTGCTACAAAACTCAGTGCTGCTCACAATGAAGACACTTTCACTTCAGGCTGCCAAGATGTTAATGGATTCAGTAAGTTTCACTTGTTCATGATGGTATGCTCATGCTCAGGAAGATTTTGGTAGTTAAATGACTTGCATCTCACTGAAGCAAACAAACAAACAAAAAGTTAAAGATCTTAAATTAAGCATTAAGGAAAATACCTCAATGTCATTTCTGTTCTTCTCCTCTAATTCTTGGAAGCAGGAAGAGACCTTTCTGACTTTTGTAATCCCATTTCAAAGCAAATATGGGCAACCTGCAATGTCAGGGCTACCTGAAACCCCAAAACCCTTTTATAGCTTTCCCTAGAACCTCCTTTTTGGCTTTTTGTCAAAAGCCAGTGCAATGTTTCCTACATTTTGAGACTAGAAACACTTACAAACCTATATGCCCTAATAATGTTAACACATTTAATAATAGAAGGAATAAATTTATTTATTTATTTATTTATTTATTTGATTTCTCCCCCGCCCATCTCCCCCACAATAGGGGACTCTATTATACCCCTGACTTAAGAGCAAACTGAAAAATCTAAGTGTGTAATATTTTGCATCATCCCACTGCCCAGTACAAAGCTTTCTCCATCACTATATAAGAAAAGTGTGAACTTTGTTTCATTTTAGCTTGAGTATTCTGAACAGGATCCACTGTGTGAATGTGGTTTGTAGTCTCCATCCTGAATACATAATGGTCCTATGGCTCTTTCAGCAACCATTGATGGCTTTGCATCTGGTGAGAGCAGTAACAGCAGTTCCATATCAGATGCTGCGTGCCAAAAGTAACCATTGCCAAATAAGCTGCTGCTTCTGACATCAATGCTGGAAGGGAAGCCACGTTCTTGAAGTGAAGAGCTGAGGAATCTACCCACAGATTTTACATTTTCTCATGGAAAACATTGTTGTTGTCAGGAATGAACAGCTAATGAAAAGCACAGAAAACAGAACCTTGTGTTCTTGTTTTAGTTGTCTGTGCTGCCTCTGTTACTCCATTTTAGTTTCTGAAATCTCATTCTTCAGGATAACATATGGTTCAGTTATTAATCAATACTCTCTAAAACCATGTTGAGCAATTGAACAGGAATATGCACTCTAACATGCAAAACTATGAAACCAGGTGCCAGTGTAAAAAGCCCCCTATGATTACAGATCACACACATTTTCACATACTGCTGCTTTCTGTTGAGCTGGTCCTTGACTTGGCTGATATGAAAAACAATGAACAGCATTAGGTAGCATTTGTACAGTGATAGTCATAACTAGGAAGGAGCGGCAATGATGCATTTTCTCCCCTTTTCTCCCCTTTTCTATTGTGGTGATCAGAGACATTCTAAAGAAATAGCTCTAGCCTTCTTTGGGAAACATCCATAAATATGTTGAGTACTACTGTGCTTAAAAGGGGAGAGTTCACTCCTGCTTCTATTTCAAATTCCTCTCCCAAGGAAAATAAAATAATTAATTATTTATTATTTTGCGAATGAGGTTTTAGAAATTTTATTTCTCCTTCTCCTCCTTTCAATCTTATGAAAGATAGAAAGCAAACAAAAAATAAAGCTAACTTTGGTGAAACTGCGTAGGAGCAAGCTTGAAAGGCAGAGGGAAATGGGGACATCTGGGAGGTGTGGTGAACTGAAGATGACCATGGCAAAGACCAAGGAACTGGTGAGTAGACAAGTATCTTGGAATCTTTCCAGATAAGGAGAGGACAGGAGATCACCCACATATGCTCTGGATGGCTGCTTCTCGTGAGGAGACCGCAGGGCAGTGGTTTTCCGTGGGTTTGAGTGCCAGGAAATGACAGGATCAGCCATCTTGCTCACAACTGGGGCAGAGCCTTTTAAAGGACACTAGGTTCGCAAACCTCACTTTCTAATCACTTTCAGAAATTGCCTATCTTAAAGCTGTTAGAAACCTTCGGAACCACAAGTTTGAAAACTCTTCATCAGGTGAGTTTATCTTCAACTCTGAACAAAAGAAAAATTAATTACAAATTAAAGAATTTGAAATAAACAGCATAAAGCTAAATAAGATTTTGATCTAAGAAAGTTATAAATGGATTAAGGGTCCAGATAAATTTGGAATATTGACTTTTACTATAAGATTTTAGAATTAATTATAAAAAAATAAACAACTTATCATAGGAAACAGATTTATTTTGGCTATCCTGGCAATTGCAAGTCATAACAAAAGATAAGTGATGATTTTAGAAACTGGACACTAGAGGGGACTAAAGATTTTAAGAAGATGAAAAAAAAATACAAGCCTGATGACAGCTAATACTGACACTTACAAAATGATACAAAATGTTAGAACATGGGAAATATTAAAGGAGATCTTTGAAGAATGGATCTAGAAGTTCGTAACTACAATATCAACACTGTCAGTAACAATGTCTGTTTCTGTGGATCGACTATGTCCAAAAGTTGTTAATGAAGGAATGACAGATATGGAACAAATTTTATCTGGCAAGATAAAGTACAGAATGTGGAACTATAAATGACAGACCAAGAGAATGATTTGGAAAGGGACGCTTTACTGGATGTACAAAACAAACTGGCTGAATTTTTTTAAAATTAAAAGGGAAATACAAATGATAAACAAAGAGAATGACCTGGAAAATGTTTTCTTGTTGGATCTACAAAAGAGGCTTGTTAAAGCCTTGAAGAAATCTGTGCAATGGGATAAAGAAG